ACAGCAGACGGTAGTGGACAGTGGGGTACTCTAGGGAGTGGACCAGGTGCGGGCTGGACAGCAGACGGTAGTGGACAGTGGGGTACTCCAGAGAGTGGACCAGGTGCGGGATGGACAGCAGACGGTCGTGGATGGTGGGGTTCTCCCGAGAGTGGACTAGGTGCGGGATGGACAGCAGACGGTCGTGGACAGTGGGGTACTCCCGAGAGTGGACCGGGTGCGGGATGGACAGCAGACGATAGTGGACAGTGGGGTACTCCCGAGAGTGGACTAGGTGCGGGATGGACAGCAGACGGTCGTGGACAGTGGGGTACTCCCGAGGGTGGACCAGGCACGGGCGGAACAGCAGATGGTAGTGGACAGCGTAAGACCCCCGGGGCATACTTCACATGGCAGCAACCATACGAACTATAGAAGTCAATGACTTGTTTCATCATCTGCCTCGCGCCAGCAGTGTTTGTTATGAAAGTCAATCTTTACAGCATTTATGGAATTTCCGAACGCTTAAGCATTGATCAGCGTTTCCCTCATCCGCAGAGCGGCGCCGGCCGCCCGCCTGACCACAGCCGTGCCGCACGTGCTGTGTTCGGCGCTGGGACCGCCCGTGTCGGCCCGTCTCGCTGCCGTCTGCCGCCGCCTGGTGACAACACTGCGCACCGAGTACCGGCTGGACGAGCACCTGCGGATGCTGCGGCGTGTCTTCCTCATGGAGGCTGGCGACCTGATGGCCGCCTTCTCCCGGAGGCTGTTCGAGACGGTGCGCTGGCGGCGGGGCTGCGGGTGCTGGGGGTTGGGAGCTGGCGGCTGGCAGCTGGGAGTTGGCGGTGCGCGCGGTGTCAGGTTGTTGGTAGCGTGTAGGAGTCAGCGGGTTTGGATGTCCAGCTGCTGCTGTATTGCTGGGTGGTTGGATACTGTGCACAAACCCTTGCGAACGTCACCTTGCTGCGACCTATCAGAGAGAAGGGCGTCGCATTTCTGGGCTTCAGGCGTTTTGAACCAGCCCGCTGGGGCTCAGAAGCGGTCAGTCCGCTGTACACCGTGCCGCTGTTGCTCAGAAGCTGTCAGCTCGCTGTACCCCGGTGCCGCTGCTGCTCAGAGGCGGTCAGTCTGCTGTACACCGGGCCGCTGTTGCTCGGAGACGGTCAGCTCGCTGAGGGACAGGGCCGGGCCGCGGATCCAGCCGTGGTGCTGATCTGTCGCGGCCGTTCCTTGTGTTTAGTCCAGCTTACCGTGTGTGTTCTCGGGTCCCCCGTCTCCCTGCGTCCAGTTCGTTTCCCGGCGCGTGTACCCATACCGAACCCATCTCAGGGCGTGTGTGCCCATACCAAGCCCGTCTCCGGGCGCGTGTACCCATACCGAGCCCATCTCCGGGCGCGTGTGCCCATACCGAGCCCGTCTCCGGGCGCGTGTACCCATACCGAGCGCGTGTACCCATACCGAACCCATCTCCGGGCGCGTGTGCCCGTGCCGAGCCCGTCTGGCGGCCTGCTGATTGGTTTGTCCTCGCCGTCGGCAGCTGGAGGTGGCGTCGACCCGGGACGAGTCTGTCAGCCTCACGCTGTGTCTGGAGGACTGTCTGTCGGCGCGGCACGCGGACATGGCGGCCCGGTTCTCGGTGACGCTCGTCGGCCCGGAGCCGGCCGGCGCCGCGCCCGCCTGTCCCCTGCGCCGGCTCGAGGCCGTCACGCTCGGGTACGCGGCGCCCTGGCCCTGCACCATCGCCATCACGGCTGACAGTCTGCGCCGCTACAATGAGATGTTCCGCTTCATCTTACAGCTCAAGTTCACCCTGCGCGGACTGCAGGCGCTCAACTTCAAGGGTCAGTGGGGCTCGCCGGGGATAGTAGGGAGGGCGGGGGGAGAGAGGCAGACAGGAAGGGAGACAGGGAGGGAGTGAAAGGGAAGCTGACGGTGCCGCCACCTGCACAAAGATAAAACTGGCTGGTGATTGCTCTGTCTGCTACTGCGGAGGAGTTAACCGTGGGAGTTACCGTGTAACGTAGGAGTTACCGTGTGCGTTTTGCGATTCCTTCTATGGTGGTCATAATATACTTGGTTGCGCTGTCCATCTCTGCTGATGACTAGGTGATGGGTTGTCCATCTGCGCTGATGACCGTGTGGTGTGGTGTCCATCTGCGCTGATGACCGTGTGGTGGGGTGTCCATCTCCGCTGATGACGGGGTGATGGGGTGTCCATTTTTGCTGATGGCCGTGTGGTGGGGTGTCCGTCTGCGCTAATGACCGTGTGGTGGGGTTTCCATCTCCGCTGGTGACCGTGTGGCGGATGTCCATCCGCGCTGATTGTGTGGTGGGGTGTCCATCTGCGCTGGTGACCGTGTGGTGGGGTGTCCATCTACGCTGGTGACCGTGTGGCGGATGTCCATCCGCGCTGATTGTGTGGTGGGGTGTCCATCTGCGCTGGTGACCGTGTGGTGGATGTCCGTCTGCGCTGATTGTGTGGTGGGGTGTCCATCTGCGCTGGTGACCGTGTGGCGGATGTCCATCCGCGCTGATTGTGTGGTGGGGTGTCCATCTGCGCTGGTGACCGTGTGGCGGATGTCCGTCTGCGCTGATTGTGTGGTGGGGTGTCCATGTGCGCTGGTCACCGTGTGGTGGGGTGTCCATATACGCTGGTGACCGTGTGGCGGATGTTCATTTGCGCTGATTGTGTGGTGGGGTGTCCATCTGCGCTGGTGACCATGTGGCGGATGTCCGTCTGCGCTTGTGACCGTGTGGTGCACATCGTCATCGATCCGGTGGCGTTGAATGATACTCGTCCCTGGCGCCCGCAGATCTGGCCGAGGCCAGTGAGGAGGACTGGCCGGGCGGCCCGGGGCGGGACGGGGGCGAGCCGGCCCCGGCCGCGGCCCCGCGCCGTCTGCGCCTGCAGCTGCTTCGCGCCTGGCTGCTCCACTTCGTCAGCAACATCCACAGGCAGGTGGCAGATGGCGTGCGTGCGTGCGTGCGTGCGTGCGTGTGTGTGTGCGTGTGTGCGGGGGGCGGGGGTGGGTGCGTGCGTGCGTGCGTGCGTGCGTGCGTGCGTGCGTGCGTGCGTGCGTGTGGGTGGGTGCGTGCGTGTGCGTGTGCGTTTGCGTGTGCGCGTGTGGGGGAGGTGGCGGGGGGAGGGGTGAACTAGTCAGAGCTCCCAGAATGCCCAGTGTCTAACGGCGGGCCCCCGTGTCATCAGCTACATCATGATGCGGGTGCTGCACTCCACCTGGCTGGAGCTGGAGGAGCGGCTGGAGAAGGCCAGCGACATCGACACAATCGTACAAGGTGGGGCACTGTCCTGACACCGCCTCGTCGCACGCCGCCCGCTCATGCTTGATAGCGACACCTCCACCTGTATGTGGTCGCTAGGAGGGTATAGCTGTCCTTCCATCGCACATTTATGTTGCCTTGGTGCAGCGTTTGAATCCAAAATGGTGCTGCACATGCATGTGTTGTGCCCTTAGTGTGCGTACATATATTTTTAATCGGCGAAGAGAGGCCCCCTAAAGAGAAAAAAAAACTGGGGCTGTGCACTATGTTTGATTATGTCATGTACGCCTTTATTTCTCTTCTCGTTAAGTTGGCTCCAGTTGATGTTTTAATTCATGGCCAATGAAGACATCAGATACAAAAGCGTTCATAGCTCGATGAAGTATTCATTTCAGCTCATGCTCGTTACGTTGAATATGGTATGCTCTGTTTCAGTCATAAGATCTTTTCGTGCCTTTTTCTGCTTCATCTCGTGCTGCATGCAGTAGATGCGCGTATGCTAAATTTCGGAGCTCGTATGAGGATGGGTAGTGTTAACCCCGTGGTGTGGGATGATATCGCATTATATAACTGTGTTCCGCCCTCCACCGCTAGGAGGTTTGTGTGCCCCAGTGTGTCGTTATCTGTATTCAGTCACCATCCGCTGTGAGACAAACGCTGGCTGTTGGGTGGAAGCGACGCAAGCTTGTTGCCGTCATGTTGGTGCACTGCCGGCCATCGGAGCCGAGGTATGAGGGCCACTCTTCTGGAAATATAGCTTTCTGATCACTTTGCTGGAAACTCACGACTCTGACCACTCTGCTGGAAACTTAGCACTCTGACCACTGCTGGTAACCTTAGGCCAGTTTAACATGACCAGTCTCGTACAAATTATCTGGTGTGTATATAGGCGAGACGTATCTGTCCATCGAAAGTACGCTGAATTGGATGCAGTCAATCTGCATCAAATAACATTGTGGAAACGGCATATCGGAGCTTTCTTCTTTGCACCATGTGCAAAGGAACAAGCGTGATGATTGGATACCGGACCGGCGGCATGGTGGCGTCCGGCCCGTTCATCTCTCACGACTCGGGAGTGATGGCGACTGCTGGCTACTCGCGCGCGCGCGAAACATCAGTGAACACTGCAGCACTGCGGTGTCCCAGCCGAGGACACTGTAAAAGCTCTCCTGACATGCGTTTCATCGGATAGATTTTAGTGTTCAATGCCTTTCTGATTATTGTCGCCTTTCGGAATTGGCGAGCTGTTCCTAATCCGCTCTGTCCTTACGCGACCAGCCATTGATTGTATGTATTGCTTGTGCGTTTCAGTGGTCTGTTTTGAGGATGGTTTGCTATGTTATTTCTAAGCTGTGTCGTTGCCAGAACTCTGGTAGTTCCCGTTATTCCGCATAGCCCGCTGCGCCCCCCCCCCCCCCCCCCCCCATCATTCAGTATAGTCCGCGCCGTGCCGACCCGCCGTGTCTCCTGACGCGCCCTGACGGCCGGCAGTGCACGGCCGGTACGTGTCGGTGCTGCACCGCCGGTGCCTGCTGGCCGGGTCGGCCGAGCGGACCCTCCACGCCGCCGTCCTGTCCGGTCTGCAGCTGGGCCAGCGGCTGCAGCGGGCCTGGAGCGCCGTCGGCCGGCTGACCGAGGCCGAGCTGTGCCAGCTGGAGGCCGACTACGTCCGCAGCCACCGCTTCGTCACCGGTCTGCTGCGTCAGTACCGGCAGACCACCAGCCACGGTCAGTACCGGCAGACCACCAGCCACGGTCAGTACCGCCAGATCACGAGCCACGGTTAGTACCGACAGACCACGAGCCATGGTCAGTACCGGCAGACTATGAGCCACGGTCAGTACCTGCAGACTACGAGCCACGGTCAGTACCGGCAGACTACGAGCCACGGTCAGTACCGGCAGACCACCAGCCACGGTCAGTACCGGCAGACCACTAGCCGCGGTCTGTACCGGCAGACTACGAGACACGGTCAGTACTGACAGACCACGAGCCACGGTCAGTACCGGCAGACCACGAGCCACGGTCAGTACCGGCAGACCACGAGCCATGGTCAGTACCGGCAGACCACGAGCCGCGTTCAGTACCGCCAGACTACGAGCCACAATCAGTACCGGCAGACCACGAGCCACGGTCAGTACCGCCAGACTACGAGCCACAATCAGTACCGGCAGACCACCAGCCACGGTCAGTACCGCCAGACTACGAGCCACAATCAGTACCAGCAGACCACGAGCCACGGTCAGTACCGGCAGACCACGAGCCACGGTCAGTACCGGCAGACCACGAGCCATGGTCAGTACCGGCAGACCACGAGCCACGTTCAGTACCGCCAGACTACGAGCCACAATCAGTACCGGCAGACCACGAGCCACGGTCAGTACCGCCAGACTACGAGCCACGGTCAGTACCGGCAGACCACGAGCCACGTTCAGTACCGCCAGACTACGAGCCACAATCAGTACCGGCAGACCACGAGCCACGGTCAGTACCGCCAGACTACGAGCCACAGTCAGTACCGGCAGACCACCAGCCACGGCCAGTACCGCCAGACTACGAGGCACAATCAATACCGGCAGACCAAAAGCCACGGTCAGTAACGGCAGACCACGAGCCACGGTCAGTACTGACAGACCATGAGAGATCAGTGCATGAGGCTTCAGTCAGCACCTGCAGGGAACAATTCACAAAATGGGAGACTGCCGCTGCCCGCTGACGATGAGCGACGATCAGTCCGCCAACACTGACGTCATTGGAGCTTGAGTTGTGCTACGGACGCTGGTGGGCAGCGAAAGCAAAATTGTCAAGAATGCATACTGACGGCATTTAGAGCTAGATGAGTTTTGATTAGAACTAGAGAGCGAGATGAGATAAAGCTAGAGAGCGAGATGAGTTTCATGGTCCAGATGTTTTTAGAACACTGTACCGCCTGGATACACTCGGTCTGATCAGCGTGTGTCCATCGCCGTGGCCGGTCCGGTGTACCGGCGAGCTGGTGACCCGGTGGCACCTGTTCGGTGCACGGTCTCGGCGTGCGGCTGACGCCTGCGACCTGTTACAGTGGACAGCCTGGCGTCGGCCATGGCGCACAGTGCGCCCAGCCAGGTGCCGTTCGGGGAGCTGGACTGAGTGCCGCCGCCCTCCTGCACGGGACAGACCCCTGGACCAGGCGGGTGCTCTCGAGACGCGCCCGAGCCTGGCGGACGGCGCCGGCTCAGCGGCGGCCGCCGGCGGTCAGCACGTCCCGGCCGTCATTCAGGCGGCAGACGGGCGGCCTCAGATGGGATCTGCGTCCGCACAAAGTGTCTGGGCGCCGTGTGTTCTTACAGGACAGCTGTTGGCGTTCTGTCTGTGACCAGGTCGGTTACGGACGCCCCGGGCTATGTGTTACGTCTGCAGGCGCTGTGCTCTATTGCAAGACACGTGCTGGTGTCTTTGACATACACAGTGTTGATCTGTTCAGTGATGATGCCAGGCGCTTCCTGTAGACCCGGCCTGCTGACGTCCAGGTGCTGTGAGTCCGGCTCGTGCGTGACCGCTGTATCCACGTTTGGTCTCAGTGTTCTGGCGCACAGCGTCTGATAGCACAATGTCGTGACTGGAGAGGGACACTAATGGGATGTATTGACTAATAGCACTGCTGAGTAATGGCCAATATTGCCTGATGTGTGCGAGGGCGTCCGCGATTTGCGTAGCATGAACAATAAAACACTGCCACTCATATTGCATTGCATTTTGCTGTCCCTGCTCACCACCATATGTGTCCCATATGTTTTGAATACAATATCTAACATCAACATATTTTCACATCCAGCTGGCTGGGCCAATTTCGAATTACCCGATTCCCTCATCCTTGCAAGATATTGGTCGCGTTATGTACTCTGTTGCTATCCCCATGCAAAAGCAGACATACAGCTACTACACTGCCATTGGTTTCCTTAGTTTACCACGTAGTATCTTGTAAGTAGGTACCTGAGATTTTGCCAGTCCAACTCTTGCTGTTAGGCCGATCCGCTAAAAAATTAGTACTTGCTCGCGTGATAACACCTGGGTCGGGGCGCACATAACTGGAATGGAAGATGCAAAAGCTTTCAGTATTCGGTCATGCTATACTGTGTCGAGGGCTGTTGAAACGCATGTAGCTAAACCGAAAGATTTCGATGAAGCATGCCGAGCAAGAGCACAGCAAGAAACACCAGCGGGTGTGAGGCTCACCGCAACCACTGGAAAACTAGTTCTAAGTGTATATTACTAAGCCGCGTCGCTCAAAAAGCATGCCAAGTTGCTACAAAAACTCAGCGTAAGGACGTCAAAGTCCCAAGGTGATGTTAGTGGGTACCCCTTACCCTACGAAAAATCGGCCGGAATATCACACGAAGCCCCTTCAATTTGACGAAAACAGTTTATAAAGTAATTGTTCGGCCTATAAACTATTTTGCAAGTTCACGTACCGTGCTGATAAGTAACTAAGCAGATTAAGATACACAATGACGTCACAAGTCCTATTTTCCAACTTACTCTCGCAAAAACAGTCTACAAGCTTTCATGTTCGGGAAAAGCGCATCCGAAAGCTGTAGATCTACATTTTTTTGTTACAACGTTACAACGTTAAAGATAGAATGAGATAAGGTACAATATGATATAAGATACAATACAAAAGATACAACACAATATATACAATACAACGTTAAAGATCAACTAGGTACATATAGTGACCTATGTTGGCCTTTGATCTCATTTTCTGAAAACATGCGCTCCACTTTCTTTAAACTAGTGTGCAATTGAAGACTAATTTATTGCCGTTCTGACGCACAAAAGCAATCGATGGAATCCGCTAGATCGGTCGCAAATCGAAGTTGAACTTTGGCGGATCACGCACGGCGGCACGCCATGTGCCAACCGGCCGGCGTCCCGTGACCGGGCGTGATCGACTCACTCCGCCAGGAACGCTTACCGTGGCCTTGAAGCAATTCGTCTCAATGCTACAACCAGTCAGTCTGACATTCTTCAGCAGCTCTAAACCAATGTATGAATGACGAGCGTGCGTTAGTCGACCTGGCGTACCTAGCGTTGCTCTCGAATCACGTTGGTGGCAACGTCGTGCGCCCTAGTCCCTACAGAACGTCAATGACCATTATTTTAAGCCGGGCTAGATCTCGGCACGAGAAGAATAGAACAACTGATCTGAAGTTGCGCTCTTTAAAATCTAATCTAGAGCCGGAGCAAAGTCGCTCTTTGTGCTGGTCCATCACGCCTGGGACCGCGCACATGGAATTCGATACGGCACGCTTTGAATTCGACGCCGGATTTGGTAAGGCCCAAGTAAGGGTCAGTGTGCACGGAAGGTGGGGGACGTGAAGACCTGCAGTTTTGCTGCTTTCGGCGAGTGCCCCCAGAGAATGCCCTAAGAAAAGCACCGGTTCAAAAGGCCACGGAAGAACAGAACAAATTGCTTGTGTGGCGTAGCGATATTATGGTGAGTGTGGTTTATACATTAGTCATTATCACGCAAAAGATTCGTTAACTTGTTAAGTTCCACGCTTTGGAATATTGCTGCAGTCCTGTTTAGGAATGAGTATGTCTGAGCCACAGAATCGATGGACAGAAGCTCCAGATTAACGTCAGGATCGAGCTCAGGCACAGATGTGCTAGCCCGGACCGCCAGATCATGATCCCGCGATTCATAATTGAATCATGGTGCATGGATCTTGTTTCTATTATGCACCTTGTAGCAGTTGAACACAACGTGTGAGACTGGAAAACTTTGTCCGTTCATGTGAGAACGGTTTGATTTATTTGTCCATGCGAGTGTCCAGTAGGCACGAGGAGCCCCACCACATTTCGGCGTGTGTCAGTCGGATGTAATAATGGTGATGGTGGAATTTGTGTGCAGTATTTTGTACAGACAAATTCAGCACGATTCCTTTAAATATGTTCAGTTTATTTGCCAGGTGGACGACGGCACCGTGCCCGTGAGTGCACTGTTCGCCGTTGCAGGGGACTGTTGAAAACGCAACGACTCAAGAAGGGACGAAGGAAGTTTGGTGCTGTCTCGAGAGGCATGACGGAGCGTGTGTCCATTGGCCACTGGGCTTCTCCGAAAACCATTTTTATTGCACAAGGCACAGTTCAAGGCTACCATTGGGAAAGCCTTCCTGAGCGCGTGGCGACTTAACAACATACGTCTTTTCGAAGCATGCTTCAAAGTGTATAAATGACCTCGTCAGCAGAATTATCTGCATGATGTAGCATCAATGATAGTTAAATTTATTTAACAGCCTCAGTATGCGCTCGGCGGGAAAAGATGCTACCCACGCTGAAAAGCTTCCACCAAGAGCAAAAACAAGCTCATTGTTTAGAATTTTGTCGCCTGACCCAACATAAAACAAATGTAATTTCCTCAACATGTCACCATGCTGAGGATTGGAGCGTTGAAGGTGTATTGATCGTCCTCGCTATCTCTCACGGAAAATGTCCATGCGTCGAAGTGGGGAGCGCTGCTAAACGCCTGACAGGGTGTGGAAATATGTAATGCCCAGAACAGGATTACATTCTGGCGTCACATGATGCTTCGCAGCTGCACCGACCAAATTGCTGGTTAGTGAGCAGATAAACTATGGATGCTGTTTATGGAAGGCTATCAGAGACGCAACAAGGGCCGGCAGAAATTTGTACGTTTCAATAATGGCTTATCTTTCAGGTAGGGTTAAGCCACATGATTTACAGAAAAAAAACAGTTTTCGTCGAAAGATAATGTGCGCATGCACACACTTTACAAATCATATGTAAGAGCAATACTGCGTACTTTATTTGTTTACTGTTCTTATGCGTTGTATCTTTTTACGAAATTATATATGTATATATATATATATATATATATATATATATATATATATATATATATATATATATATTACCGAAAACAACTGTTTTTTCTGTAAATCATGTGGCTTAACCCTACCTGTGAGATAAGCCATTATATATATATATATATATATATATATATATATATATATATATATATATATATATATTATCGACAAAAACTGTTTTTTTTTTGTAAATAATGTGGCATAATCCTACCTGAGAGATAAGCCATTATATATATACACACACACACATATATATATATATATATATATATATATATATATATATATATATATATATATATATATATATATATATATATATATAATTGGCGTTGTATACTGTACCTTTTTACGAATAATATTGTGTCTTTTTTGAAATTCACGTAGTTTAAACTCACCGTTTCATTTTCATTCGTAGGCGAACATCCATGAGATAGCTGATGAAATCCTCAAAAAGGAGTAATGCTTGCAACACGTCAGGATCGGTGCCACCGGGGAGGACGAGGGATGCGTCCTCCTCTGTTGCTGGGTAGGGGGGGGGGCTATCCTATGGCACCAGGGAGGACGGGAGATGCGTCCCCCTCTGTTGCTGGGTAGGGGGGCTATCCTATCAACCTTCTTGCAAAACGATTGATATTTTTACACAAAATTCCACGAGGTGACATATATACCCAATTTTCTCCACAATGCGGTCACCTCACATCGGCAGGATTACATTGCTACCAATGTAGTACGATAGCTGTAGGACTCCTAGAGGCCGCTCGACGATAATCTCCTGCACTGCCCAAGCACACTCAAATATCTTCCGTGCCTCTAGTTCAAAAGCCGGATTAGGAGGCGATTAGATCATCGCGATATCTGTGCCTCTAGTGCATAGCTATTAAAGATCTTACGGGGAAAGTGAAAGCTAGTATTGAATTGTAGTGCACTTCCTGCAATACAATATCATTAATTCTTCAGGAATGCTGGTATTTTCGTATGCTATGTCAATGACCATCGCGAGCCATCATTACTTCCACAGTTGCGTTTGTGCATAAGCTTTACAACGCAAGAAAGCCTCGCAAGTTTATGTGTACTTCCTTTTCATCGCCCGCCCGTGCCGGTTATTCAGTTGGTTAGAGCGCCTGCCTTCCGATCCACCCACCTGTGGCGGGGTGGTTTTGAGTCGCTTCATAGGTACTCGCTGTTTTTTCTGTACAGTTATGGCCTGCGGCCAGTGGCAGGAGCTACGCTGAAAGCCAGGAGGCGCTGGAGGGCAGCACGAACGGTGCCAAGCATTGCGGTACGGTATACCACCAAATTCAAAATTCATCACCAAATCCTGCCTTTGACCAGTAATTGTGCGATTGGATGGCTCACACAACATCCCATGCTTAGCATGAGCTCTGGTTCCAGAAATCGATCCATTCAAAAAGTTCGGAGTATCTTTTTTAGACTGCGCACCTGAAAAATTCGCGTATACAGGTGCCTTGCATGATAACGCTACTATATGAGGGTTTTTTATTCATTACCGTGTTCCCCGAATGTACGACCATTTTGATGAATTTCGCTTTTTAACGTATATTTCAATTCAGCATCATTATATCTTCGAACAATCGTCTTTCAACAGTGCTGGTGTGGTAAAGTTTCAACTTGAAACGAAGACAAGGTCTCAGCCGGGTTCAGCCGAGGGGATGACCCCGGGTAAGATTGGCCCCTCTTAAAAATCCTCGCATTCCGGCCATTAAATCTGAAGATTCTTTTGTCAGCTATGCTTCATACGGGAGCCAATCTCAGTGCGCCCAGCCCTAGAAAGTGGGCATGCTGTGCACATACAGGTAGCCTATTCATTTTCTCCAGATCATGGTGAGTCTTGTGACTTTACTGCTAAGTATTTCGGAAAAGCATGGTAACATGAATTAAAGTTGGCTGCTA